GGGCGGTTCTTTCCCTCACCTTGATCTTGATAAAGCCAATCTTCGGCTGATTCTCCGTTTGAAACCACCAGCAAAAATATCTGAAGCACCCTTCAAACTGAGTGTCCTTGGAAGACCTTCTTGTGCGGGTCCTAAGACAAAGGCAACTTGAGTTCTCTTTGTTCTCGCGGTCCACCCACGTGCGCCGCTTCTTTGTCCACCGATTTCCCCCATCGGCCAAGTTGCAGGCGGCTATGGGCCTGCGGAGCGCACCCGGGCGAGACCCGAGCCCTACGCCGAACCCCCAGCTCCAGCTCGCCCCCTTGAGGGCCCTCTGGGGCCTCTTGATGTGGGTTGAGTCATCTGCTTTCACTCTGGGGTATCATTTCAACAACTTGCCAAAGATGTTCTCTTTCCAGTGTGTAGAAGCCTCTTGAAGGCAGTTGTGCAGTCGTGCCACCTACTTTCACCATCTTTCACCCCAGTGTATCATCACTGTGTGAAATGGGGGGGGGGGGTTATTCTGTAGCTACCTGCTATGATGGTAACTGAAAACACTGTGACTGGGTTGCCGTTTCACAACCTTGGGGTCGGTTTGTGCAACCTTTGCCAGTGTATGCTTTGTATGTAGTATGGAGAGGCCAGCAGCCCGACATCTAGCAATGGAAGCATGCAACTCCAATGCAGCCTCTGATGAAGTCAACCCCGGATTCATCGAGGTGATTTCCTTTGAGGGGGGGATTCTCACTTCCAGGACAAAGCTGGTCAATAGTGTCTTTCGGAGCAATCCGAATGAAACAATGGTGTGAAGCCCCACCCACCCGTGGTTGAGCATAGGCTGATTGAAGAATTCTCTCGATCTTGGCATGCTTTGTGGTAGCTTTCTTTCGTTGCAACTTTCGGTCAGCAATCCTCGACATGTCCACCATCCTCTAGCCAGCTTACCATCCAGTTTATCAATCTTACCTGTTGCCCCCCTGTTGTTTGCGCAGTTGGCTTCCTGCTCTTGGACTCACACTATTTGAGCCAAAGCTGGACAAGTCACTTGGTAAGGGCAGAGAAGTGGAGTTTGTTTGCCGTTTCCTTCTTTATGCAATTTTGGTCGGGCATTCAAAGCATCCTAGAATGCTTTCACAGGGAGCCCTGCATGGATTTCGACCTGCGCCAATCCCAACAGCAGCCAGGTTTAGTCTAGGAGGGCTCCTACGAGTCTAGGTTCCTGTACGGGCGTTGGGGAGTTCATGTTTGTGTTGTGGCCAGTCCGGGGCCTTGGAACTGGAACGTTTTTTTTTTCTTTCTCCGGGGAGTCCGGGGAGCGACGATTTCCGCTGGCCAAAGAGCCCCGCAGGTCCATCCACCCACCCACGCACCCACGCACCCATCCATCCATCCAAGCATCCATCCATCCATCCATCCATCCATGCATCCATCCAGTTTCCCCCCATGATTTGAATGTTTTGTTGGTACTCTTTCAGGTACTCTTCCAGGCAGTCGCATCCGAATCATACTTAGATGGTCCAGGAGAGAGCCAAGTTGGCAATTCAACATTCTATCCTTTGGGGGTTCCTTTGGTAACTTGTTGTGCCAAGGTCAAACATGAACTCAACATTCTTTGGGCCGATTGCAAAGCCGCGCCCTGTTCATCCGCCCAGACCCTGGGCACCTTCAAAGACACCGCCTTGGCGGCCGCCAGCCGACTCCTTCACTCGGCCCGCGCGCCTGGAACGCGCCGTGCCAAGGGGTCAATCTTCGATTCTCCCAAAGGGAAGTCAAGTTGCAATCTGTGCGAGAGATGCAGGGAATGAGAAATGGAATGACCCCGAGATAAACCATCCAACTGGTGGCTTCCTTGAATCCCTGGGTTCATTCCCACATTCCCTACTTATCGCACCAGCAAGTAGGAAATGTGGGACTGAAGCCAAAGATCCCCTGAAAGAAAACCACAAGTTGGATGGAATTTATTGGTCGTTCCATGTCTCATCCCTAGTGAACACCAGCAAGTCAAAGGGGGAGTTGTCTTTTTCCCCAGACACCTATGTAGCACCTAGGTATTTGCTGGTTCGATAGGCAGGGAATGAGTTTCGACCTGCACTGAACCAGTTTCCTTTCAAGCAAATCCCAAAAATCCACTGTTTGATTCCTGAGTGGGAGCCAGCAAGACTACTGTGGATGTTCAAACAAGCATGCTTCGCACGTTGCGGTGTATTCTTGGGGGTTCGTCCATCCCAACTGGTGCAGGCTTTTGTCATTCACAGTATTGCCCGAGAATCCGTTTTGGGGTAGGTCATCCGTTTTGCAGGTTGATGGCTCTGGCATCGGTTTGGGTGAGCCCTATCGGTGTGGTCTAAACTCCAGAAATCCAAAGTGAGTTGACACTGCTGCAATTGACCTGCCATCTTTGGCGACGCTTTTCGTCCTGGCAGCCGCAAAGCGGAACCATTTCTAGTTCAAATGGACTCAGGAATCACCTGCCTTTTTCAATCCTGCCTTTTTTAATCGGGAGGGGTTGAGAAGAAATCAGAGCTCCGGCCTTGTGAATATTTGGGATTTCATATCCAGCAGCCCAAGCTGCCGAGGCAATTGAGGCTGCCACAGCTTGGAAGCAGAAGGATCCAGGGGCAGAACTGATGGCCTTCTATTTTGGTCGACTAACATGGCCCGTGTTTGTGAGGCTTCCCTCTTGGATGAGGTTTCCAGCCCTATAGGTGTCCTTTGAGGTGAGTTTGGTTGAGCATAGATGGATATAGATGGCATTGGTTTTTAGTTTACGTTCCAATAATTTCCCAGTTTCACCAGAGGAGTCCTTCTACTGTTCCGAGAAAAAAACCTAGGTATCCGAACCCCCCCCCTTTTTTCTCCGTAGGCAGCACCTTCCGACCGAGTTGCGTGAGGTGGAGAGCTGGATGGCGCGGGCAGTACAGCCAGCTCCCAACGACGAGCGGCTTGCCTGAGACGCGGCTCGCGGGACACGAACCCAGAGCTCTGCTTCCATTTGTTTAAGTGTGTTTTTGTTTTTCCCCGTTGGGTTTAAAAGGAATCGATTTCAATACTGGAAATCTTTGCTCATTTTTTCCAGGGCGCTTAAGCAAATGGAAGTCTGGTTATTTTGCTGCTGCGAGAGATGCGGGGTATGAGAAATGGAACCCCCCCAATAAAATCCATCCAAGTGGTGCTTTCCTTCAAGGGGAACTGAAATTTCATTCCCTCGCTGCCTTGTTCCCTTTCCCCAACAGCTGAAAACCATGGGGTCTTTGCCCAAACAGGTGGCAGAATGGTTCGGAGTTCTGCTGGGGATCATTGCCACGAGTTTAGTTTTCTTGTTGTGGGAGAGAGGAAGGGCCTCCCTTTCAAATCAACCAAAAGGGTGCGTGATGTTGATTCCAAGATTGGAGTTCTGCAGCCAAGAACTACCTTGCCGTTTCGCTTTTACATTTTCTACTTATGGTCCCTTCTCTCTCCAGTGGCTGAACCACAGCAAATCGCCCCGTAAGACTTGCTGCACCTTCCGGCTTGACTTGGTTCCAGCGTGGGTTCAACAGCCAAGGGGTTAAAGAACAGTTGCACGGCAACGAATATGTATTGCTTCGAGGTGTTGCCATTTTGGCGTGGCATGAGGAAACTGCTAGACAATGGCTTTCCAAAACCCAGCCGGTTGCATAGCAAGGTGTGGGAACTCATCCTTTCAATGGAAGTTTGGGAACACATGAGACATGCCTTGAGGAACGCTTGTCAGTACGCTCCCACCATGGTCCCGAGCTTGAAAGGGGAAAATCACCTCAGCTGCATGCAAATAAAACTGCTCCAAGCTAAAGGAAGATAAAGGAAGTTAAAAGAAGATAAAGGCAGCTAAAGGAAGCTAAAGGAAGCTAAATGAAGATAAAGGAAGATAAAGGAAGCTAAAGGAAGCTAAAGGAAGCTAAAGGAAATTAAAGGAAGCTAAAGGAAGCTAAATGCAATTAAAGGAAGCTAAAGGAAGATAAAGGAAGTTAACAGAAGACAAAGGCAACTGGTTTGCAGTAACCCCCCTTTACCCTCCCTCAGAACGAGTCCATGACAAAGATGGTGCCTGAATGAGCCCTTTAGAAGACAACTGTGCTCCTTTTCGAGGCGCGCGCGCACACTCACTCTTATCCGATTCGCAACTACCTTGCACCAGTTGGTATGGACGAAACCGGTATTGTCCCTTGGTTTAAAGGGAGTCTATCACTGGGCGTAGATCTGTTTTTCCACGGGGTGCAAAAGCAAATGGAAGTCCTCCAACACCGATGAATGGGAGAACCTGTCTAACTGGTGCAACGTGGATTTGGTCCATCCACTAGATCATGTAGAGGCCTTTCAGGTCCTGCCTTCAGACAGTCAGGTTTTGGAGGAGGCGTGTTTGCTGTTCAGCGGGACCCCCTCAGCACTGATCTCCGAAACCTAGCACCTTCCGAGACGGCGACACCCAATCAAACGAAACATATAAACATGGTGATTGCCACAAGCATGCCCAACATGGAAACGGCATTTGAGTTGTTGGACTGTTCCCCTTTCGTGCTTTTGGCGTTCTCACGCCCGCTGCAAGGGGAGAGTTGCGTTTCAGACTTTTTGTTTCAGTGCCGCTGAAGCGCACTGTCCGCTTGCTGCCTGGGTTGCAAGCCAGAAGACGAACCTGCTCATAGGGTCTACCTCCTTCTTGCTTTTGCCATTTTGAGCCCTCCCTCAAAGTAGCCTAGAGACCTTTTCCAAGACTCCCCCCCACTTGCCTGCCCTGTTGTTTTTGCCCAGTTTGTTAAAAAGCTGATCCTATGTGAAGCTCAGGCGAAGCTTTCGACCCTGGAATCGACCCGAAGGCATGCAAGCTGCCGGGGCTTCCGCCAGCCAATGTGGAGCCTACCAAAAACGCCGCCTTAGACGGAAAAGTGTCTCCCCTGTGGCATTCCATGCTAGCGGGTGGGAGGGAAGGTCGCATGCAGCGGCTGGGAGGGAAGCTTATTGGAAAATTGGCTGCCCAAAAAAGCAATCAAGGAAAGTGTGCGAACATGTCCGAACACGGCATTACTGCGCGAGTCTGCTTTCCCTTCATGGGTGGGTTGGATTGACGAGGTTTGACGGTGACGCATTGGTCATGGCGTACTTGCATGACACAAGCTTTAGATTTCAACCCAAGTTGATGCAGGGTCGTTGGAATTCAGGTTGATGGCTCCCAGCGTTGTGAAACCAGGGAGCATCCCTCCGATGCTGAGGAAGGCCCACCAGAATCACAGGAGTGGTCAGTTTTTCTGACCCGGATTTCAGTGTTGATTCCCAGGGGCCAGGGGTTGCAAAGTTGCAATTGACCCCGTTGGAGTTCAGGTTGGTGGTTCCGTTTCACCGTTGCGAAACCAGGGAACATCACTTCAGTGTGCGACCCAAAGGGTATGGGTGGGTTGCAATGAAGCGAATTATATACTTCATGGCAAGAGCTTGCGCTGGCGCAAGGCGACTTTGGCGGCTTCGGAGATGCGTGGGGCTTGGCTTGGCGGAGCGTATCAGGCCCCATGGGGCACCACGTCAATTGACCCGAGTTTTAAGATAGCTGAGCAGGACAAAGTGCCACAGATTCGACCGCACATGCGCGCTTAGGCCTCTGAATTGTCAGAATGCACTCTGATTGCTTATTTGTGCAATAAACCAATGTACCTCCACATCCAGTGGCCTTTGGTGAACTTTCGGAATGCACCCTGATTGCCTATTTTCCACTAAACCAATTTACCTGCACATCCCGGTGGCCTTTGGTGTTTTTTTTTTTTTTCTCGGAACCCTGCTCGCTTGTTTGTTGAATCGACCCATTTTCCCTACACAATCAGTGCCCTCTTGGTGATGTTTCTCCGAGGTGCCCGCCCGAGTTGAGCCAGCAGGACCGGGAGCAGTCGACAACATGGGCATATGGAGGAAGCCCCCGAAGGTGCAGAACCCGTTTGCTTTGGGTCCCTTCGTTTGCCCACAAGAGAGTTTCCAACAGCAAGCACCAGTATTTGGAGTCTCCATGACCCCTAGGAAAAGGGGTCATAACCCCCTAATTTTGAGTAATGACCCCAATTTTAAAGGGTCATGGAAACTCCAGGTAGGTCAAATGAAAATGAAGGATCCTCTCAAAGAGCCCGTGTGAAGAGCCTTCGCAACTCGCAGGGGCCGCCGCAGGAGAAGTGGCCCCAGAGCCCCGACCTGAGGCAGAAGGCTGCTTTCATCCGTCCCAAGCTCCTGTGAATCAAGGAATTCGGGCAGGGGGCATTTCGGCTCCTACGATATGTGTCTTTTCTCACTTCCCCATCACTTCCCCAGCTTCTAGACTTAAAACCTTTCGAGTTGCAGACAAGTGCGGACTTTTGCTTACCAATCCACTCATGAATTGACAGACAAGTTGTCCATGTATGTCCATGTTTTGGGAAGACTAGAAATGGAATTGCGGCCTCCAACACCCCTCACCCGCTCCCCATTGAGGTTAGGTGTGTATGCGTGTGTTCAAGTGTAAGCCTAAGCAAGCAGTTGCCAACCCTTGCTGACACACCGACAACACAAACAGAGACAATATGACAATATATTATAATACGTGCAGGACATACACATATATATATATGATTTATAATAACATTGATATTGTTTGTTTTGCTCAAAAGTTCTGTTGATGCACATGTACCTGTCTACCCTGCTGCCGGCCGCATTTCCTGTGTGTTTTGTTCGTCTGTTCAAGTGAAGTTGGATTCACAGAGCGGTATTCGGAATGTCTTGGCTGCCGGATGTCCGCGCAACTGGGAACTCGGGGAGCTCCTGAGGCCGTTGCAGCCAACGCCCTTGCAGGTGCGGCTCGGGGGCATGTACGGACGTGTCTCCAATTCCGGGCGTCTTGCGCTTTCCCCGCAAAAAGCGGTAAAAGCTCCGGGTGGATTGCAACCACTTGTCATTTTGTTTCAGTGGCTTGGCTTGAGCCAAGCGCATAAGGATAGCTATAGCTCCCCAGAAAGGCACCCCTGCATTTGCAATTGGGATTTGGTTTCTTTTGCGACATGTATAGTCTAGGTCCCCCAGTAGTGCCCCTTTTGCCCCTTTTTTGGGGGAGGGTTCCCCTACTAAAATAGACTACAGAAAAAAAAGGGGTGCCGTTATTCTAACCTCTCTACTGGAGGACCTAGTAGTAGTGCCCAGCTCAATGCCCTAATGCCTTCATAGAGTCTCAACATCCAGTGCAAATCAAACTTGTCATCGCCCCCTCCAGGTGGAAGGAGGCCCTTTGCGCTTGGCCTGGGGCTGAGTGGTTCATGGTACGAAAGCAGGTTGCAAAGGCGAGGGTTTGGGAGTATTGCTCCTAGCTTTTTTGGTTTGACCGACTTGCGCGGGTGTGACAAAGCAACGATACATTCCCCCCTGCGGTCGACATGGCGAAAGCACAACACAGCCCGAGCAAGACATGCTTCCTTGCATGCTGCTTTTGGATGGTTGCTCAAACAATAGTGGGTTGAACAGCTTGAAACACGATGGCTAATTCTACCTTCACATGGTTCAGGATGCACAGCATATGTTTACTGCTTCAATCGCATCGTTGTAACACCGGCAATGCCATTTGTATGAGCTTTGCCCAAGCCCATGCTTGAGTCCTACTGGGCCATGGCGGATTCATAGGCGCATACTTTCATGCTTGAGTCCTACTGGGCCATGGCGGATTCATAGGCGCATGCTTTCCTTCATGTCAGTGAGGGGAAGTGGACAGGCTTCCCCGCAAGCCGCTCAGACAGAGTCAGAAGCCAAGGGCGGGGAGCCGCGCACGCCTCTCTTCCGGCACCCGCTGGATGCACCGGGCCCCGCCTTGCCGGGGACCCAAGCTGCGGAGAAGGCGGTTGGCGGCTGTGCTTTCCAACGGCCAAGGGCGGGTGCTGTTGCTGTTGTTTTGTTTTGTTGTTTTTGTTGCTCGTGTGTGTTTATGTGTACCGTTTGTGTGGTTGTTGTTTTTGGTGTTATGGTTTGGCAGTTATGAGGAAGGCTCAAGTGCACCCGCTCAGCGCTGCACACACGCCTGCCAATCTCGGCACACCCGCTCAAGCGCACCTGCCAAGCCTCTTCCGTGCTTCTTGTCATGTTGCCTGTTTGGCCTGTTTGCGTGCTTCTTGCTTTCTTTTGCCCGAAGCTAAGAAGCTTGGAGGCGGTCAACTCTTGCAATGTTTGGATTGGGCCTTGTTTTTGTTGCACCTTCGTTGGGCTTTCTCGGGGGCCCCTTGATCACCAATCCTGTGCCAAGCTGAAGCGCCAAAAGCCGACGGTGAAGGTTAGCAGCTAGCATATTTGTGTGTGTGTGTGTGTTTGCTTGGCTGTGTTTGTGGCATTTCCCTTTGCCAGCTCAGGGATTTACCACGTGGGTATGGGTCCAAATTTAAACCACCAGAAAAACCGCCGATTTGAGTCCATGTTTCCATTTGCCAGGGTTCCATTTTGGGCACGTATCTTTGACCCACAGCCACATGGGATGCGCCGGGGGCGTCTGCGCTAGGACGGCGAGGCGCTTGGAGAAGGAGACCTCAGTGGTGCAGGCGGGGACCGAGCAATGAGAGGCCAACCACAAAACAGGGCACCATGAAATTCTGGACTCGTGCGGTTTTCATGGGTTTTCACCTTTGGGGTTGAAAACAACGGGCCAGCTTGTAGTGAGCTTCCTCTTTTGGCCCGGAAGCTCGGGAGCTTTGGGAGCTTCATCAGATTTCCAGGGCCCCTGCAGATGACTTGCTGGACTGAGCCTGCAGCCTGGGGTCATTTCCGCTCGGTCGGTTTGTTTTACAGCCTGCAAATGACCCGCAGCTCGACTTGCTGTGCTTACGCCCGCTGGCTCCATGTTTTACCTCCCTTTTGCCAACGATGTGTCATCACTTCCTTTTGGACAGACCAAGCGCCCAGTTGGCCCAGATGCTCACAGCTGAGCTCTTGCCGCTTGCCCTGTGTAGCAGAGGTCGCCAAAGATTTCGGCATTTTCCGTCGCAGCATTGATCGATCTCAGATCCAGCTTTTTCTGGCACAGCGCTGGTGGAATTCTCCGTTTAATCGAGGATTGCTCAGACAGCTGGATTCTGCCACTTGGTCTAAGGGCTCAACCTTGTGCTTTTTGAGTCCATGCCCCTGGGGTATACCCGCAATGTACCGACATGTGGAGATGCAATTATGTTTCTACATGCACGTCAGGGCACCTACCCAAAAAAGCACGCGGCACGGCGCCAGGGCAGTCTCCTGGCACCGCTGGACGAGGTACCGAACGCTGAGAGACCGCCAGCCCTCGTGACTACACGTTTTGAGACGTGTAGAGTTGTGGCCTTTAGCATGTCCATTCCGTCTCAGAAAAGCAACCCCTAGCCTCCCCACAATGCCAAAGTGTGCAGGGCTCGAAGCAGCAATGGCCCCTGGGAGGATGCCTTGGCCTTCTATAAGTAAGGGGTTTTGGGGGCGGGGGCCGGCGCCTTGATTTCACAGGCGCCACGGCGGAACCCTGCGGGAAGCTCCCCACACCAAGGAATCCTTATGGCGCAGTAAAGTGCCGGACGCAGATCGGGCAGCGGGCAGGCGGCAAGCTAGCGCTTGTAGAGACCACAGCTCAGGTCCCTAATTCTTCACTGCTCAAATCACGGGTTTGCTGTGTATCTCATTTTGGAACATGTTTTTAAGCCCTGGAGGTGACACGTCATGCTCCCCCCGTTCCAGAGTCCAACCGCCACCCATGGTTCTCAACAGGGAAGCGAGCTGTTTGCCAGGTGCTGGCAAAGTACGTGCAAGACCGCACTGGAGGCAGTTCCAATGTCGAGAGTTGGACACGGCCTGGCAGCATGGGCGCTCCCAATGGGAAGTTCTGTTGCAAATGCGGTATGTCTTCGCATGGGCGCACGGGCGGGTGTTGTTTTCTGGTGTTTGCCCTGTGTGGTGGGTTGAAAGCTTTGTGGGTGAGAGTTTGGGTGGCCTGTGGGTTCTGGGATGCGCATGACTGCGCATGTGTGTATTTGCGCGCCCGTGTGGGTGTGTGCTGAAACAGAAATGCGCATACTATGTGTATATATATATGTATTGTGGGTTTCTGCGTGCCTTTTTTGTCTTGCTTGCATGCTTGTCAAGTCTGTAGTGCGCGCCTGCGTTCTGGCAGGCTCGAGCTCAATATATAGACACATGCATGTCGTGTGCACGTGTGTATGTGTGTGTGTGTGTGTGTGTGCTGGATTTTGCTATATAGTCAACGTCCTGTTGCAAGGGCACTTGTTCCTGAGTGCTTCACACATTTGCTTCCACCTTGGCGCAGGATTCTATACACCAGACAACTTGCTATCGCCACAAGCTAGCCGATCCAGAGAGCCCTGGACCCTCTTGAAGCAGGTGCTTGAAAACCATGTGCGTGGGATGTTTGGAAGCCCTTAGATGAAACAAGTTAGAGCCCAGCATCGAGGCAGCGAGGGCGCGCACGTGTTCAACCTGACAGCAAGAGCCCAGATTCGGATCGCTGGGGGGAGGGGGTGGTTGCCAATGAGCTTGCTATGATAATATGTAGGTAAGAAGCCCTAATTAGAAGGATGAATCCCTGACAATGCAAACAAGCCAATGGTTTTCCATGGTTTCAAAGTGGTGCAAGGTTTTGTCCACTGTGTCACTACGGGGACACACACACATAAGTATGAATATGCACAATATGTGCACATACTGGTGCATATGGATGTATTGATACAGCTCATGTAACAATACTTTGATCAAGAGCTGGATGTGCAGCGAGGGCTGTCCTTGTTCCAGCCAACAGGGCCCAAGAGAATGTATGTGCAGCTTCTGTTTAGTCAAAGCCAGACTTTGCGAGATTCCATCTACAGGACGCTGTCGGCCCCAAGTAGAAGTTTGGCTTAGTTGATGCGAGGTGTATCGGTCGGCTTCGGCGCTGGCCAGCAAAAGAAACATTTTGCCCTTCGCTCGTCAGGCATTACACCACCCGGTGGTGCCAAGAAACCGATGTGCCCTGAAATCAACGCATTTTTCAAAATGAGTCCGTAACTCACATGCATAGGTGTTCTTTTTGATTGTTTTGGTAGAAAAAATAGATGGCCCTGGTTTACCTGGTGGTTTAATCATCTACCAGGGCCATCTATTTGCCCTAAAAGGACACCTATGCTCACATGTCTTTGCCACCAGATTGCCCCCGCGTGTTAGTGAAGGACCACAGGCTTGATTTGTTTGTGTTTGATTTGGTCTGCTCATCGCGTGCAGAAACAAAAGACATTTGTTTCGTGTGGGCAGCTCCTCGGACGTATGTAATATGTTCACAAAGGTGTCTACTTGGGCGTGGTTTTGGAATTGATCAAGAGTTATTTGTGTAGGGGAGAGGCAATTCACAACATTCAAAGTTGAATGGCTGATGTTGTGTGTGTTGGACTTGGCCCGCCCGCTCACATCCGCTCACAAAACTACGCTTTTTCTTGTTTCTCTCCTCACCGTCAATTAACGGCAGCTGCGCCGCAAAAACTCGGTCTTGGCAACTTGGGCTCCAGCGTGGGAGTGTCGGCGTAGAAGATCGTCTGATTTCGGCGTAAGTTCGCAGCCGCAATTGGTCAGACAGGGACGCCTTTCGGTGATTCTCAAGAGGTGCTTTGTGATATTGGTCATTTGTTATTGCGTACAGTTTGCACTTCTTGGATTATGGCTGCATCGCCTTTTGATACCTTCAGGGTGGACATGTGAGCCAGCAACAGGTCAGACGGAACATTTCGGGATCTGCTTAAGCAAGCCAGCGGTTAGGTTTGCTGATGGCTGGACAGTTCGAGGAAGCATCAAGCAACGAGCTTTGCATGAGTTAACTTTACGGCCTCCCTTGGCCACATGCAGTGACGTCCCCTCCTGGGCAAGCCCCCGCCTTTAGCAAACAGCCATCCGGGGCGCTGGGGAGGCAGCGGTCGGCCCATCCGATCCGAGCCATCCCATGGAATCGCCATGCTGTCCCTCTCGCGCTTAGGCCGGTTCTTGTTTTCACGAAAGCCGGCAGGTTTAAAGATGGACCATCGCACTGGGACAACTAAAGTAAAGGAGGGATGGGGTCAAAGTGGATGCGCCTTTCACCACCATTCAAAGGGAAGTGTTAAGAGTGTCACTTTAATGACGAGCTGTACGTGTTGGGCTTCGGCAAGTTGGCTTACACAGGTGACTGCCCTTGGCCATCAGGTCAACTCCGCGTTTTTTGGCAGTGGTCACACGTGGGCTACCCATCCTGTTCCCAAGACAATGTTTATTCACATGTGGCAGGGCTGCTTGTATAATATTCACGAAATGGTGTTCATCAGAAAAGAAGATCTTCTTCGTGACGTACGCTCGTCGACCGAATGAAATGTGAATGACACTAGTCACTAATTGAACATGGAGCTGTTGGTCATATTTTTGACCTTCCGCCAACAAATAAACTGTGCGATTCACTTTCACTATTGCCAATAGGGAACGCTCTTTTTTTGGCGGATGTTATGAAATGCTTTGAGGAAGGCTTCTCGTTCGGTTCTCCCCCTTGGCAGCAACATCAGCACACACACACACACACAGCATCTTCACCTAACGAGTGCATGGCGCTTGCCTGACACAGTACAGTACGGGTGTGACTTTTTGACTTGCTGGTTCTTTGCCAAGGATGCTTATCAATCAACCGAATCCTCTCACGGAGATTCGAATCAAGTCTATTGAGTGACACAAGACGTGGCTTTATCGTGGCCCTGGCAACACTCCCCCAGCGCGCCGTGCAGAAGTGGCACGGGAGCCTTGCCTCGGTTTGTGAAGCGGGCGAACGCCCACTACATTGTTGCAGACTGGCGAACGCCTGTTTTCAATAAAATCCTGCATCCATTTGAATCGTTGCTTCCTGCAATCATTTGAATCGTTGCAAGGCAACATCCACAGGAACGATCGTTCCGTCTTGAATGCATGTCAGCAGGTGTATCAGGGAAAGGTGTTTTGGCGGTTTGTTTGCTGGGACCTGGGGTCAAACGAAAGAGCGACCAAACAAGCCTGGGGGGCCACTGCGCCACGCCTGGTCGCCCCTGTGCTACCTGTGCACATGTGGGTACGTGCCCAAATGCGAAAAGGACCGTGTGGCATCTGAAAGATTGCATTTGACTTATGATCCTTCGGAAAATGACGGTCCCCCTTCTGACGGCCCCCAAATGTAGTTGTTTTCAAGAGTCTGACCAACACCGGCAGGACTTTCGCGATCTCCGGGGCCAAGGCGACGCTGTGAGACCCCTTAGCCATGCAGAGAGGTTCCTTTCCTTAGATCGGGGCCGCACACCTGGCTGTGCTAGAGGCCTAGATTCCATGAGATGTTCCCCCTTTGAGTCGGAAAGCTGGGTCACTGACAACTTTGCCAAGGCCCCCTGTTGTTTGGTTTCCATAACTTTCTGTTCCAAACGGCTTCGTTTTTTTTGGGGTACGTTTTGCGGAAAGCCGCGTGCCTTTCGGTTGGGAAAAACGTGTCCAGGGGGGAAACCTGTTGAGCTCCTGTGGCTTCTGCTTCCAGGCTCGCGAGCCTGGACTCGCCGCTTGGATCGGGCCCAGAGGTCCATTGGACACCCCACTGGCCCAGAGTTCCCCTAAAACCGCCGAGGTTCCCTGGACTTTGAAACGCCGAGGTCCCCCAGTGCCCTTTGAGAGTTTCTTTTTTGGGGGAGGGTTCCCCTACTAAAATAGACAAAGAAGCAAAAAGTAGGTATATACTATACTCTATTCTAACCTCTCAAATCTGGAGGACCTAGGGCCTTTTCACCGTTTTCACCTTTCGCTTGTTCCAGGTTGACTCAGTTTTTAAGGTTCCAAAAGGTGAAGTCTTCATTTCCAGGCCCTTTGGGCAAGCGATGCAGTGGTCCAGGATCATCGGAAAGTGAACATGTTGGTGGATATTCAGCAGTACTATTGGGATAGTATAGCGGAGTTGAGCGGGCGATTTCGAGAGCGTCATTTTATGGAGCCAGCTGGAGTTACGTAACCTCCGAATGCAGCGTGAAAATGGCTGGCCCCTTCTCAATCACGCAAAAGGACGGACGCTTTTGCAGCGCTCATGGTGTTGAAAGTTCCTTACAACAATAATGCCAGGAATAAGATATTTATTCCGTTGGGCGAGCTCTGTTCCAGGCCACGCAGTTTGGGCTTTGTGTCCGAGTAAGGCTTTGCTTCTTTTGTCTTGCATGCTTGAATCCTAGTACTGTGAGCTGACTTTTCCGGGAGCAAACGAGCAAGCAGCTGGTTTCCCAGCAGCCAGGCAAGTGCGGTGAACTGCGAACCTCAGCGCTTGCCAAGCTTCAGAAACACCAAACTAAACGAAAACACATAAGCGCATCCCCATGGCTTGCGCCAAAAAAGACCATGTGTAGCATCCGAAAGGAGCCCATCAATTTTTGTTGGAGCCCATTTTGGGTCACCCAAAACGCCCTCTTCGTTTGGAGCTGGCGCCTGCCACTCTGAGGCGTTCCTTGCAGCGGGAGTCGCAAGCCTCCCATGCATCAGTCGGATCGTACCTGACGGACGCTTGGATCACACCCATGGCTGTTCATATTTACCATGGGACAATGAAAGCTGGCCACCCCAACTGGATGCCAGCAAGCACTCTGCGGGCTTCAGCATGAAGCATGTTCTTGCGTTCCCAGTTGGGGGAAAGGAGCAAGCTTGAGCCACGGTCAATGTGTCCCTCCACCATCTACTTCACAACACGGATTATGTTTCACACTCACCGCATTATTATTATTATTTTTTGTTTGGGGGGGATCCCATGTCAGCTGCAGAACGGCTTGACATGCAAGGACCAGCTGGTGGCATTGACGCAGAGGCCACGGGCCCGTTGCAAGAAGTGTAGATGGCAGATGCTGCTGTCGTTCAGGGCACTGGGTTTCGGGCAAGCCATGATGAGCACCATGGTACCAGGTCCAAGCCGAGTTTGTGTTGGCTGCCTGCTGGTTTCGGTTTTGCATCCTCGCAGTCTCAGGTGCTGATTTGGGCACGTTGCCCGAATATTGGCTCTGTGCAAAAATCATGATGCAGTGAATCTCATTTACTGGTCATGTCTACTTCTTTCACGAACTGAGCATTGTCGGTTTCGACCAGTTTCGAAGCGCAGGCACTGACCATCTGTAAAGGGCGGCGCTGGGGGAAGGGCGGGTACATTCCACCGCATTCCCTTTAGTGAACCCTATCAAGTGCTCGAGGCCGGGGTTTGCCCGTCTCTTGGGTGAGACAGAGAATCAAGAGCAGAAAGCTTCTGGGGGCCACGCCCTTTGCCAAAGATGCCCTCCTCTCTCCGCCCCTGAGAAAACCACAGTTCAACCATGTGACCCTTCCGGGTACACGTAAGGGTCACTCTTCCTATGCCCGGGAGGTAAAGCATACCGGACGCATATGTTTCCATCATATAGTAAGCTTGCTGGTGCGATAGGCAGGGAATGAGAAATGGACTGACCTCTATAAACCATCTAACTGGTGGTCTGCTTTATTCGGCGACCGAAGCCTGGGTTCATTCCATTTCTCATTCTCTACCTATCGCAGCAGCAAGAAAAAGGAATCAAGGACTAAAATCTGCGGTCATTTGGTTTAATTTGGGCCCCTACCCTAATATGGCTGTGGGTCAAAACCAAGGTACCATTTTGGGGTCGGTGAATTCACCACCCATTCTAGTCTATTTTAGTGGGGATTGGGATGTTCACTGGTGGTACGGGAATTCGACCCATGGCCATATTTGTGGATTGTTCATCAAGTCCCTCATCTACCCTCCACTTGGCTCGCGCGAGCCAGGCTGCCCGCTCGAACTCTGGGCGCTGCCTCGCTGGGGCACTGGTTGCTGCTGCCGCTGTCGGCGGCGACCCTGGATGCGGCCGGAGCCCAGGCTGCGAGCGTCGAAAGTGGACAGGAACCTTCGGTTTTCCAATTTTGGGTTCCAGTTGTGACCCCCAAACTGCGACTTGTGCAACTCACCAAGGCATGAACCACTCATTGGGCTTCAAGCAAGCAACCCTTCTTGGATATCCCTAGCACATGAGCTCGCCTGGTGGGTGATACTCAGCCCTACTCAGCCCAGAGCGAATCGACCTTTTGACCTTTTGGCTTTCCCTTTTTGGTTTTTAGAGGTCCCAAAAGATGAACACCTTTTATTTTCAGGTCCTTTGGGCAAGTGAAGATAATGTGTCCTTATCTGCAAAAGCCCTTGTTCCAAGTTGGTTTGCGTCATACCCTCTCACCCTTTTCACATGGAACCTGACGTTCGGGACCGGGTCCCTTTAGGAAAATTGTCTAGGAACTCCCCCCCTGCCAGGGTCCGTGTTAACTGGTGGGAGGGCAGAAGCCATGCTTCAAGCACTTGGGGCGCTTTGAAGCCAGAGGAATCCCGATCAGAACTCATTTGGGTGACTTACAACAATAAGTGGGTTATCGCCAGGCTAAGTGGCCTGCCTCCTTGAGCAGTGGTCCCAAACACCACAACTGAAGCGGGGAGGTAGCTAAGGCCAAATCCTACTCAGGGCACTTGCTGAATGGGCTTTTGGCCACTAAAATATGTCGTTATGCAAGAAGGGGTGCTTGATTCCTAGAAGGGACCCCTGTAATTGGACCAGATCTAGAATCCCTGCAAATGAAACCAACTGGTGCTTGGAGAAAGCAATAGATGTTTGAGCAAGCTTCTACAATACAAAGGGAACTCCCTTCAACCTGATCACGCATTCACGGGGAGGCTCCAGTTTGGTATCACGGAGAGGGTCATTACCACCATAGTCCAACTGTTGGCATCAAAAGCGCCTCGAGAAGTGCAGATAAGTAATCCCGGTGGAGAGGAGATGGATGTGCTAAGCCATGGCTTTTTCTACTGTTTGCCATTCAGTCTGATTGGCGGCGTGGTGTTGCATACGCACAGGCCCCAAAAAGTAGACATCTGAGGTTTTTGAAAACACACCCTGAGACTTGGGTACTCCCCTGCATATATTGACATGGAACCCAAACAGGATCCCAAGAAGAGGTGGCTCAAAACATGCATAGTGGATGGCTGGTAGGGTACCATGGTAATCCGCCATGAAAGTAGCCAGCTCACGCCAGCTCCAAGCTTTGCGTGCATTTGGCCGCAGGTCTTTGCGAACTCCCTGCTTTGGCTTCTTGGCACTGTGGTTTGCGTGCGCTTGTTGTGTGATCCGAAGGTTTGTCCGGCTGGTGTCCTGAGACCCTTGTAGCTTGGTGCTGACAGTGCCTTGCGATGTTTACTGTTTGTGTAGGCATTGCAGCTCAGGATTGTCACGGCTCGGAAACCAGACAGTCCGGCCACCCCATGCAGCCAGATTCGAATGCTTGTTTGGCAGGGTTGCTCGTCGTTTCCCTGACTTGTTTAGAGTTTAGAGGTCTGGATGTATCACATTGCTGTTTGCAACATGTGGGGAGGGGGGCCAACTTGCTTTGGCAGAAGCTTCCATTAAGAACCGTAAAGAAAAAGCAAGAAAAAGAGAGAAACAAAACAAGAAAACGAGTTCTGGCACGCGCTTCTAATTCGCATCAAGCATTGCAGTGCATCAAACAGGACGCAGGGGCGTCGTTGCCCTGGTTGAAACATGGTGCGTGCCTCCTGCAAAAAATGACGCACGGATCTGCGGCATCCTGATGCATTGGCCCTTGTTCGGCTGTATGTTTTCATGAGCTTTGGGCATGCCAGACGGACGAATCACAGCGCATGACAGATGGCGAATTTTAGGCTCTTGGCATTGGTGTGGCGAAGCATTTTACTCCAGGAGGAGTCCCGTTGAAATTTTGACGCAAGCTCGACCTCGTTTGCTCGAATCTGCCCTGGGCTCGGCAAAATTCAAAGAGGGTGTCCCCCGGGAAAGCGAGGGCCTCCGCTGAGGCAGTACCTGATTGATCAGTATCTGATCGTCCCCCCAAGACGAATAACCCTGGATTCAAATGGACAAGTTTGAACATTTGAAGAGGGATTGCATATCAATTTCATATCAGCATGAATTGAATCAACCGAAACAGAGACCTAAACCCGAGAAACAAAAGCAGTCTAGGGGTTGATTCCTCATTCTTTTCAACCATCGTTCTTTCCAAAACCCAGCCGTTTTCCCTGGGTTTCCGGAGGTTTTCTAGAAAGATCCGGATGCAGTGTGTGTTTGCCTGTTTCGTGGTCTGCGATCCTTGTCGCCAGCCTTAGGCTTTTGATGATCGCATGCCTCCTGCTGTGCGTCAGCAGCCCTTGCCATGGGGCAGTGACCCGATGCTTGGACGATGCCGGAGTTTTCTTGGGATCACCATTTGTTGTTTTCTGGGGTAGACTTAGGATAAATTTTACATTTTACCAGTGACTCAAAGTGAAGCAAACAAAAACATATACATTCTATAGCTGGGCCGAACTCTAATCATGTTTTGTCCTTTTGATTGAATAGGAATCTGACACAAACCATTCAGATCGCAAGTTGGCGGTTTGGGGTGGGGGGTTCAAGGGGAAACCTTAACCAGGAACTGAGGTAAACAATGAACTGGTTTCAACAGGGTATGTCTCAATGCGGACCCACAACAAATGTGGTTGTCCTTTGGGTTTCCCTTTCAAGCAAAGCCAAACGAGTACACGCTCGCCATAAAAAGACGACGATCCGAGGGTTTTGCCAAATCGATCGCCATGTCAAGTCTCTCAGGCGCGCGGAGAAGGCCGAAGTTCGCGCAAGTTTGGCCAGGGGCCTTTCAGGACGCCGGTTCAGACCGCTGGATGCTGCCCAGGGTTGTGGGATCAAGGGGTTTCTCCCCACTTCTGTGATACAAGGGAATTCCCCTTTGTATGAAGCAAATAGTCTTTGGGAAGCCCTTTCTGTTGTATCACAGAAGTGGTCATTCCCCACAGCCCTGAATGCTGCCTGGCTGTTGGACACTCAAGCGTTGGTATATCCCCTTGATGCCACTTGCCATCTTTTGGCGAACGCGAAATCCAACAAATCCGAAGGACCAAGTAATGTAGATCCTGGAGTGATCTGGATGAATAGGAATTGTTTTCCCAAAGCAGGATGGGAGCCCTCTAAATTTCTAAATGGCACACCCAGGAGCTGGGGTTTATGACTCCTGGGTCAACCTTAGCAAGGATGTCGGAGGCGCCGGGAGCCTCGTGGTATTTTTCCAGGCACGGCACCCCGTGATTCCTTGCGGGATCCCAGGGCGGTTTGCTCTCCGGAGACTTGGGACGCGCCGGAAGTTCGTGTTCGTGAGCTTCTTTGTGCAAATCTTTTTGAGCAACCCGGAAAGCATTCGATGTTGTGGTCGGCCCTTGTCGAGCACGAAGCCTTAAGGCCTCCAGCCCACGCTATCAAGAGCTTTGGCTACCCCTGGCACTGGTCTGGAGGGCTGGGTAGAAGTTCGACATGGTCAGTCAGTATGGCCGCTATCAACTTGGGAGAACGACAGCAGAGCTCACCAAGTCTTTCACAAAATCGGCAGGGGTTTCCATATATGTTTTGACCGCAGCTTATGTTGCCCAAGTACAGGAGCTCAAGATTTCCTTCATGCTGGTGGGCCTGTGCACCAGCCTCGCGTGCGTCGTTTGCCTGGCACGGGGTGGATCCTTCATGCTGACCCTTATCAGGCGCAGTGGCCGGGACGAGCAATGGCGGGGTGGTGTTGTGACCCTTCCGCGACCGAGCTGATTTTGCTCGGGGCGGGGAAGGGGGGTGGTTTCACTCAGCTTGCAGCAGGCTTGCACTTTATATATGTGTAATATTCGATATATGTATATATATATATATGTATATATATATACATACATATATATATATATAGATGTCCATCACATATCGAGTTGTGCGCCTGTTGATGCGCCCCTGTTGGAAGTGCACATGGACAAGTCTGAGTCCAGACAGTCTGAGTATACTCATGAATGTCATTTTGTTTGGTGAAGCGGTTGGTGTTTGTGCCCATGCTTGCTGTTTCAAAGTTCCCATGTGCCAGTCAGGGTTCAGCTGCATTGCAGGTGCAGCATGACGGGATACCAACTTTGCGCGAAAGCCTGTGAGGGACTATTCCTGAGGCAGCGATGATGCGATGACAATGACGATGATGATGGTGGTGACGACGAGGACGACGACGATGCTGGGTACCCTCACTCCCACTAACATGACACCTGAGGGGGTCCCTACAAGAGGGGTTTAGTAAACCCATCCCATTATTCGGGGGGTGTTCCCTCCAAAAGTGACGAAGGGGACACCCCCCTATCAATCAATCAGGGGTTTATTAATCCGGGGGTAACGTTAGCCCCAAATAACACATTTTGCAATGATCAATGGTTTTGGGCTCCCCTTTGCTCTCGCCTTTGCAGGGCTGGGGCGGATGAGCATTGCTCCGTGGCAATGCTGGGTGATTTGCGGCGACGCCATGTGCGAGCCTTCCGATGCCAGGAGTGCGAATGACGTCTTACGTGGGGAGGGCGGCAGGGTTCCCGAAGTTTGGTGGTTTTGAACATCACCTGCTGGGCCAATTTAAAGTGAGTTGCCTTTTGGTGGCGGCGTCACGTTTCAAGGGCACATGCAGAAGTGGAGAGTTGTTGTGCACAAGAACTGGCGATTCAGGTGTAGACACAGCGCATTTGTTGGAAGTAGTACGTGGAATAGTAGGGTAGGGAGCAGATCCCCAATCTGCAGGTGCAATTTCGCTGGATGGCTTTGGCTTTTGCAGGGTTGGGACATGTGTAGCTCGGCTAGAAGCATGGTCCTAGATGTATTGGCAGGTGTGTGGCTACGGTGCGTGTGTTGTAGCTTGGCTAGAATGCAACTTGGGTGTTTTCAGAATTTCCGCCTGAAGGTGTTGTGCCGGTTTCGATTCGTTGGCCGCCAGCAGCATTTTGGCCATTTGTGCTAGTAATTTGCAGTCAGTGTGCGTGCGTGTGCGCACACGCACGTGTTGGTATATTCGGGGCGTAGCTTCTACATGGAGCCAGTGTGCTTGCCGGCCTTCTGCAGCCGAACTTGAGGACAGTCTCATGCTGACAGCAGGCTTGGTGCCATGCAAGCCAGGCAAACACACAACACTACTTGTTGTTTTTCAACCACAAGAGATCAGATTCCAAACGGGCCCAAGTACAACCTGTCGCTTGGCATCATTCATGCAAATGTCTACGCATCTCGATAAAATTGAGCCAACCAGACCCACCCTGAGCCCGAGTTCTGCACGCCCAACTATAATGTATCAAAAGCTGAATTTGGTCGCACCAAGGTCCAAAGTTCCTAGCGAGTCGGCTGCTGCTCAGTCCATGTTGCGAGAGGGTGGTCCACGCCAGAATCATATGACCAATGTACATTCGCACAGTTGCAGCGACCGCCCTTTTGATTCTCAACCACGAGTTTCTGCGTGGACTCCAAGAGAACACCGTGCTTCGGATTATGAGTCACACGTCTCAGGCTGGGTTTTTCAGGGAGTAGGCCCGAGAAAGAGCGCGCGCGATCCCCGGATGGATCTTCACCTCCGCATACCCGCGGAGCGGTGGTGCATCACCATCAAGGAGTTCCGGGAGTTTGTGGCGGACGTGAATCAGGCGCAGTGCTTCTTCCCAGGAATGTTGACCCCGGAGTTATAAACCCCTGTTCATTAATATGGGTGTGTCCCTGGTTTTGGTGGGGATTTATCACTTTTCTTTTGGAGGGGAACACCCCATATTAATAAACAGGGGTTTATTATTCCGGGGTCAACATTATTCAGGGAATTTGGGAACTCGTTCTTGCAGGGAGTGGTTGGAATGGTAATTCCCGTATGTACAAAGAACAAGCAAGATGCGGGGCTAGGAGATCTTTCAACAACCCAGACTCCGACGGGTTTTGGCGTTTTTGCCCCCGTAACTTTGGGCAGCGTCATTGGATGCGTCGATTTGTTGGACCAACAGTGCAAGCCGATAACTCCAGCCATGCATCTCCCATCCCCCAGAATAATTCTAGGGGTACCTTCCATTTTCATTCTTTCCAGGGCTCCGAATCTTTTCAGGAAACCATCCAAAACGCAGCCGGCTTTTGAAAAGAGCGATGGTTGAAAAGAATGGGGAATCAATCCCTAGCAGAAGAGTCCGATGACAATGTTTTTCAGGCTGGTGGATAGTGAATGCAAATGAAAACCAAAAAACAGGGCTCCCCAACAGGATGTGTGCTGTCTAAACACGAGGGATGTTGGGGCAGCCGTGTTAATGTTCCAGCAGGGCATCCTTCCACCGAATAACAATCAGTCAGCACGGCATTGCGTGAATTCGGTGTTCAGTCTTTCCCAAACTTTGGCTGTCCTTCGCCTTTCCCATGTTTACTCATGCGAAGATCCCACAAAGCTCATCACTTCCACCTTCAAGTCATTTGGGACGTGGTGTAAGGTCAAAGTTCATCCTTGTGCAACCTTCCGCCCATAAATACGAACATGCAACGTAGCCAAAGCGCCATGGGGCCGTAAACGGGCCCTTCTGCTGGCCCATTGGCTTCTGTGTTTTGTGACTTGCGTGTCGGGTCAAGAAGGCGTCACTTTCCCGAAGCTGTTCTTGTCATATTGCTGTGGGTGAAGAATGCGTACCCAAAATGGAGCCCTGATAAATGGAACCAACGACTAAAATTGACAACCTGCAGTCCCCTGGTGGGTTTATTTTGACCCATATCCATACTATGTTTTTTGTTCTTTGAGCGTCGATCTTCTTTCGAACTTGGCAAACAATGGGCATGCAGGAACATACACTTGTGCTGTGCTTGGAGTTGACACCGAGTAAGCTCTCGGAAGAATGAGTTCTTCAGGAAGGGACACCCTATTCATCAAGCCGGGGCGTAAACATCCTGGACCTCCAACATTTTGTGGTTGTGCTTGTGGAGTATGCACTGCGATCATCATTGCCCATGGCTCAATTTATGGCAATTGCATGGCTGCCCCATGAGCTCTGCTTTCAGGCTGTGTGTGGATTCCTTTTCGCCAGTTCTCTAGCCATTCTGTTTCACCCTCCGGCTGTCCACAAAGGACCCTGAGCGGATGCTCAGCCCGGCAAGCGATCGGCAAGCGGTAGGCTTGGCGCGGCCAGCTGATCCCCGACAACCCGCAGCATCCAGACCCGGGTCATTGGAACCGACGACTCGGGCCCAACTTGCACCAGGTGAACGAGCACTATGCGGCTTGGTTGTCAAGACTCAGAGGCCCCTGTTCCTCGAAGCCCATGTCGGGTGGGGTTCAACAGGCATGCGGTTGGATGATCCGCTCTTCAGGGTTTTCAGCAATTCCACCGGCAAAACCAGCGATTCCACCTAGGAAGTAATTGTTGGAGATCGCTGGTTTTCGAGTTTTAGAGTAACATCTTAGATAAACCTCGGTCCCCTCCAAAAACACAAGTCTGTACAATGGGAGCCTTTGGCCGTCCATGCGTTCCCAGCCCATGTTGCCGATTCGGCGGGTCCCCGCAAAGTGAGAATTCCTGCTAAAATCGAACACTGCTTAGTGACAGTGGCTGCTAAACAGGTCTGGCAAAACACACAAAGAGAAGAAGCCACTGCCTGGGGAAGATGGCCAATTTGCACTGATGGTCCAGGATGCGAGCCATGCCGAGAAATGTGGAGCATAACCAAGGTGAAGCCAGTGACGCTGAAAGCAGGCGGCATGAGCTATGCAGCTTGGCTCTGAGAGGTTTTGGTCCCGCTACTTGAACGCCCATCCCATTCCTCTATGGGGTTCGGTCAACATGTCCAGTCGTCGATGGTGCATGTGGGGAGGGACGCGATGGGACACGGGGGTGTTTGCATGTCCACATACTTCCACCACAAACCAGAGGGGAATATTCACCTTGCCATGTCCAGTAGGGTAGCAGCAGCAACTATCCTCTCTCCGGGGCAGGACACCGCCCCAACCTGAGCCACGGTCTCGGAGCTGTCATTCCCAATTAGCAAGACCCATGTCGAACAGGACTGCCAAGAGGCATGCAATTACGGCGGCAGACCAGCGAAGCTCACTCACATCAGCTAGACTCCCCTCTACTGCCCCTGCAGTTTGCTGCTTCTCCCCAAAGCAAGCCACAAGTGACAAGTATGTCCATGTGTTTCATATGTCCAACCCCCTGGTTAAACGCCCTTAAATTTCAGCATGACCAAACCTGTGTTCGGCGTTCTTTGTGTTTCTCAAGTACATTTTCCGAACCCCCCCCCAATGTACTTTGGATCCTTGAGAGGGAGCAACACGTGCGCCGCAGGTCTTTCAAGCCAGTCATTCGCCCGTCGATCTAGGCGCTGATGAAGCACCCGGAGGGCCTGCCCTGCCAGGACGATCGGGATGGGTATGTGCCAAAAATCGTGGGACCCCGCGAAATTATGCAAAATTGGTGTTGTGTTGGATTCACTTCAAGCCACTCTGAACAAGGGCACTCTCAACAAGAGCACCCCCCCAACTTTCCGCCCCACCGGGATCATGTTTTCATTTTTGTCACATTTAAGGGTTCACTGCACATGGATCAGAATCAAGTTCAACCAAAATTCAGGGTGGCCACGGTTAGGTTCGGTTCGGTTCGGTTTCTGAAACCTTTCGAAAACCTTTCTCCGGTTAGTGGCGGTTACTCATAACCTTCCAAAACCTGCCGGTTTGCACGGTTAGTGCAGAAAAGTAAGATAAGGCTCTGGGTAACTCAGTCTGCTTTCGCCCACACTTCGCCAACTTCCACATCTCTGGCATCGCCATCCATCTGACATCGCCATCCCACACCACACACACAGACACAATTACACACAAACACAAACAAACAAACAAACAAACAAACAAACAAACAAACAAACAAACAAACAAACAAACAAACAAACAAACAAACAAACAAACAAACAAACAAACAAACAAACAAACAAACAAACAAACAAACAAACAAACAAACAAACAAACAAACAAACAAACAAACAAACAAACAAACAAACAAACAAACAAACAAACAAACAAACAAACAAACAAACAAACAAACAATCAAACAATCAAACAAACAAGCAAACAAACAAACAAACAAACAAACAAACAAACAACCAACCAAGCAAGCAAGCAAGCAAGCAAGCAACCAAGCAAGCAAGCAAGCAAGCAACCAAGCAAGCAAGCAAGCAAGCAAGCAAGCAAGCAAGCAAACAAACAAACAAACAAACTCACAAACACAAAAACCAACAAACGAACCATGCCACTGACTGATGCTGAGCATGTTGTTCCGCGCACGTGGCCTTGGGAAGCATCTCAGAAGTCAAAGCTCAAAAGCGAAAAAAAACAAAAAAAAAACAAGTCACTGACCGCTGATGGGTCACTTTTTTTCTTGCCAAATTTCAGCGGTGTTTCGTGTGTTCCGAGCACTGCGGAAGCAAAAATCAGAACCAGAAGCGGCCAATAATGCGGGTTTGTTGCCTTAACGCGTGCAGCAAAGGGCCCTCAGCTGCAGTGGCCTGCTAAGCGTGCCAAAAGTTCTGGCAATCAGGCTGGTGGGGCGTTGGGGAACGGCAGGGCAGGCCCAGGGCAAGGCGGGAAGGCGCCGGGAGAGCAAGCCCTTACAGTGAACAGCGGGCAACTCAGTTTTCCTCCGTTCGGCCCGCGAGAAACTGTTCCAATCCAACCCGGGCCGCGCAAAAAAACAACAACCCACTGACCGTCAGTAAGTTGTTTTTTTCTCGCGCTGCTGGCGCAGCCAGGCTGCAACGGGGTGCTCGGGCAATCCTGCGCGGGCAGGGGGAGCTGGTGAGATAGATTGATGCTCGGAGTGGCAGCTACGGCAGCGCACGCAAAGATTGCGGGTTCAATTCCCCTTGCTGCCGCCTTGGCACGGGATCCCATGGTGGTGCTGTTGTTTGCGCCAAAGCCGAGCAGCCCAAAAAAACAAGATCACTGACCGCTCGTTTGCTTGCCAAATTTTAGCAGTGTTTCGTGTGTTGCGAGCACTGCGGAAGCAAAAATCAGAAACAGAAGCGGCCAATAATGCGGGTTTGTTGCTTTGACGCTTGCTGCCCCTGCAAACCTGGAGACGGTTCGGTTTCTGTTCGGTTCGGTTCGGTTCGGTTTGTGGTTTGTTTCCGGTTTTCTTGCGGTTTTGAAAACCGGTTCGGTTAACCGGTTTCCGGTTCGGTTTTCAGCCTTCCTGAAAATTGCAAAAGCTGAGGTAGTTAAACGGAAAACAACGTAAGCGTTGGGAAATACGGTAATCAGGTGTTGGAACTGGATGTTCGAATACATTTAAGCACCAGTAGTTTGAACATACTCAATAAATCAATGCTTGGCCATCTTAAGTACGCGTAAGACTTGTTGTTCACGCATGTGGCAGCGCGCGTGATCTCTGCCTGACTCAACATATGTGGCTCAAGCGTTTAATGCCGCTTCAACGCCTGTATTCTACGCATGTTGGAGCTTCATTCGCTTTCAAGTGGTTGCAACAAACACGACCAAGCCGTGTACAAGCGCACACTCGTGTTCAACCACGTGGCTTGACCTTGAATGACCGCTGGTAGACAGGTGTTTAAAGGCCCGCATGGTTTGAGCGCAGTGAGTTGAACTTGCCGTCATTGCCATATGACTTTCGCCTAACATCTCATGGGATGAGGAATCACCCGCCTGTCTCACTCCAATTCCATGAGTTGCTTGGCCATGCTTATGGCGCATAACTTCTTGGACCTGCTTTAATGTTACCTCCCCCTCCCCCTTTTCGCGCCGGGAGTGGAACCAGTCAGCTCGACCCCCTTCCGACAAAATGTCCATAATGTTGGGGGTCTGGGTGGGACAATGCTTACTTTAGTATTGCCAATTCTATTCTAGTGCCAAGGCTGAGTCTCAGCGGCTTACTTTAGTATTGCCAATTTCTATTTATTGCCAAGGCTGACTCTTAGATTTCCACTGCTTACTTGAGTATTGCAATTCACGAATCTCAGCAACCCTCAACATAGTTGGACGCGAAAGAGGACCCCGAAAAAACGGCCACAGGGTCCTGAACTAGGAAAAAACAGGTTACACAATACTACAAGTTCCAAACTTTTAAGCAGGCGCCACATGATATAGACACACATGGTCTCGGCATGGTCAGCCAGACGAAGCTTAAGCATGAGCCAACATCCGTCATTACGCATGCTTTGCTAACACCACCAACAAGTAAGGAAGGTTTAGCACGCGGTGCTGCTTCGTTGCAGGTCTTCGTATCGCACGCCTGGCTGGAAGGCGTTTTTGAGCTGGCAGATCTGTTGAAACGCGCTTGGCCTCCCAGCCGGCACCTCAGCAACCTGCGCCCTGGCAAAATGCATGGAGTGGACACGCTGGGCATGGGTTCCCAGGTCAAGCAGTTTCACACAGTTTCTCTTTAGTCAGTGGCTGGGTTCCCCATGAAAGAGGATTATGCAGCAAGGGCGTTCTCTTTCTGCACCAAGGTCACTTGACAATTTGCGGCTAGTTGGAAGGTTAGCATGTAATCAGTGTGTAGTCTGTTTGATTCTTGTTTGCGGTTAGTTGAAAGGATGTGGCTTGAGCAACCAGACAACGGATCCTTTGACCCCTGGGTTGTCATCACAATAGGTTTGCAGCTGCGCCGCTGTTAG